GTGGCACACACCTGGAATTCCAGCAGTTGGGAGGCTGAGGCAGGAAGGTCACTGAGAGTTCAAAGCCGGCCTGGGCTTCAGCCTGAACTATATACTGTATTTCCCTGAAAATAAGATGAGGTTTTTGTTGTTGTTGTTTTGTTTTGTTTTTGTTTTTTTGTTTTTTTCTAGTACCGGGAATCGAACTCACGACCTTGTGCTTGCCAGGCAGGCACTGTGCCACTGAGCTAAATCCCCAGCCCCAAGACAGGGTTTTATATTAATTTTCGCTCCAAATACGCAATCGTGTTAGTAGGTTTCATGGTGCTGGAGTTTCCTCCTAGAGGTCATTTCTAGGGTTTTTATGTCCTGAGCTAAGAATTGGTCAAGACAAGCACAAATGGTAGCCAAGTTTTATTGAAGGTAGGAAAAGAAACAGGCGCTGCTGAGCGAGTTTAGCTCACATAAAAGTAGGAAAAGAAGTACACCCTGCCACCTGAGGGCAGCCACCAAGCAAGGGAGAACACAGTGGCAAAACTCAATGGCATCCCAGCACTCAGAAGGCTGAGGCAGGAGGATTGTGGAGAGTTCAAGACCAGCTTGGGCTACAAAGTGAGTTCAAGGCCAGCCTGAACTGCATAAGGAGACCGTGTCTCAAAAAGACCAAAAAAAAAAAATAAAGCCCTCAATGGCAGGGCCGGGGATACAGCTCAGGAGCACAGCACCTGCCTAGTAAGTGCAAGGTCCTGAGTTCGATTCCCATTCCAAAAAAAGCCTCAATGGTGGCTGTCCTTTTTTATATTGCCCACTCCTCAGGCTGATGTCAGGTGTGGGCCATCCTAATGAAAACCTGCTCCAGTTCTCGGAGAAATCCACATACAGAGCTTGGGAACTGAATGTGTCTTGGGATTTTCAGCTACTTCCCCAGCTGATTGTACCATGCACTAACCTCCTGTCTCATTAGGGTTTTTTCCCACAGGATGTCTTACTTTTTCACGTACAACAATGTACATTTATTCATGTATAATAAGCTACATTTTTTTTTTCTTCTCTTTGAGACAGGGTCTCACTATGCAGTTCAGGCTGGCCTAGAACTCACTTTGTAGCCCAGGCCAGTCTCGAACTCACAGCAATCCTCCTGCCTCAGCCTCCTGAGTGCTGGGACTACAGGTGTGTGCCACCACACCCCACACGTCATCTTCTTCTAGAGCAGCATCGTACCTCTCCCAACCCCAAGCTCCAGGCTGAATTTCTTGCAACTCTAATTCCTACAGAACTCTTGGCCCCAACAATGGAACTTGCATCCAGCCACAGAACTCTTCTTTCTCTCTTTCTTTCCTTCGTCTTTTTGAAACAGGGTTTCATTATGCAGTTCAGCCTGGCCTTGAACTCACTTTGTAGCCCAGGCTGGTCTTGAGCTCACAACAATCTTCCTACCTCAGCTTCCCAAGTGCTGGGATTACAGGTGTGCACCACCATGCCCAGCAGAAATGCAGCATTGAGACCCTGTCTCAAAACATAAAACAAAACAAGAAACAAAGAAAGAAACTTGTCCTATGCTATATAATTACAAAATTACCTTGTCATAACCTTTTAAGGGTAGTTTCAGAAACTTATTGTGCACCATTTAGGTGAGTATTTTATGAGTATTTTTATTTCTCATAACAGCACTTCGATGTAATTATCATCTAAAGATAATTATCTTTATTTTACAGGAGAAAAAAGTTCTAGGAGGTTAACCATTTAAAACTGCTGGCAACTGAACTGAACGTGTGTTTGTCTGAGTTGTCTCATAAAGCACACCTTTAAAACCCTAAAGCCAGCCAGGCATGGTGGCACACACACACCTGTAATCGCAGGACTCAGGAGGCTGAGGCAGGAAAATCGCTGTTGAGTTTGAGGCCAGCCTGAACCATAGCAAGACCCTGTCTCAAAAACCCAGTCAAGCCCAGCCTGGTGGCGCATGCCTGTAATCCCAGCACTCGGGAGGCTGAGGCAGGAGGATCCCTGCGAGTTCAAGACCAGCCTGGGCTACAAAGTGAGTTCAAGGCCAGCCTGAACTGCATAATGAGACCCTCCCCCCGCCCCAAAAAAAGAAAATAAAACCAAACCAAAACCCTAAAGCCTGGAGCACTCAAGAGAGGCAAGGAAGAAGCAGCTCCCCTCGGCCTGCAGTGTGGGGAGTCCATTAAGGACCAGTTTTCTACTCTAAAAAACTCCCAAAGCCCCTTCCTGAACCGTTGGAGTTGGGAGGTCGTGGGTGGAGGGACGGAATATCATCCATTTTCAGAGGTGGGCGCAGATTTTCCTGCAACCTGGGAGGGGCCGCTTTCCCCTCCTGTTGTCTTTGTCAACTGTGGGGGTTCCGGAGCCCACATAAGCACGCAGATGGGATTCTGATGACTAGGAGGCTGTTGGCCCCACTGCGCCAGCCGTCTTTTTTTTTTTTTTTTTTGTCTTTTTGAAACAGGGTCTCACTATGTAGTTCAGGCTGGCCTTGAGCTCACTTCATAGCCCAGGCTCATCTCAAACTTGAAACGATCCTCCTGCCTCAGCCTCCCAAGTGCTGGGATTACCACCAGCCACCTTGAATCAGGTTCAGCTGGCAATGTCACGTTCTCAGTGGGAAAGCAAGATGGAAATTCAGCCAGGCTGAGGACATAGTACTAAGAGGCCAGGGAAGACGCTCAGTGTGAGGGCCCTGGATTCAATACCCAGTACTGCCAAAAAATGTTAAAAAGATTGGAGGAAACCTGCAGTGTCTATCAGTAGGGGCTTCCATATGGCTTCCATTTCCCACCAACCTGTCTGGAGGCCAACGGCTGCTGGCACTGGTTCAGGACTCTACTGCCAGAAGAAGTTTCTTTGTGATCTTTCTCTTTCTCTCTTTCTCTCTCTCTCTCTCTCTCTCTTTCTCTCTCTCTATTTACTTATTTATTTATTTTTGTCATTTTGAGACAGGGTCTTGCTATGCAGTTCAGGCTGGCCATGCAGTCACTTTGTAGCCCAGGCTGGCCTTGAACTCTCAGTGATCCTCCTGCCTCAGCCTCCTGAGTGCTGGGATTGCAGGCAAGCAGCACCACACCCAGCTACTCTGTGACTTTCTTGGCCTTTCCTTTGCAGTTACAAGATGGTGCCCTTTATTTAGCTGGCACATCAGTGCTCTAGCAGGGCGGGGAAAGGCGTGATATCTGTTCCCTTTATGACCAATGGGTGAGCTTCTCCAGAAGCCTCTTGGTAAACTTCTGCTCTTGTCTCCTTGGCCAGAGCCATCTATGTAACAAGGCACATCTGGCTGTAAGGGAGAAGGAGAAAGTGAGGGTTAAAGGACCCCCACCAAGGGAAGTGAGGATGGCCAAGCAGCCTAAGGATCCCCACTTCTATGGTAGCAAGAATAAAAAGATTAGAAATGCTGGGTTAGTCAGCCTAGACTTCTGCCACAGAATAGCCCTAAAGGAAGTGAAAGGGACTCATACGGACTATTAAGGACAATCTAAGATTTTGTTTTGTTTCCTTTGGTGCTGGGGATTACACCCACGGCTTTTGCCCTAAGCTACCTCTCCAGCCATATTTATTTATTTGTTTATTTATTCTGGGGGGTTTTGAGACAGGGTCTTGCTATGTAGTTCAGCCTTGAACTCACAAGGATCTTCTTGCCTCAGCCTCCTGAGTGTGGGGATTATAGGCATGCGCCACCACATCCTGCTGGCCATTGGGGTTTAAGAGCGACAAATTAATCTGCCCAAGATCACACAACTGGAAAACGCTCAGGCTGAGGTGCGAGCTCTGATCTACATGTCCATGCCGTGGGAGGAAGCTCATCTCCCCAGATGCATGCTGAAGTCCTAGTCCCCCAGAGCGAATGCATTTGGAGACAGAGCGTGTGAGGAGGCGAGAAAGATAAAATGATCCGGGGGTCATGGAGCAGCCTGTGATCCCAGCACTCGGGAAGCTGAGGCAAGAAGGCTTCCATGAGTTTGAGGCCAGCCCAGACTATATAAGGAGAACCTGTCTCAAAAAAAAACAAGACAATGAGTTAAATGAGGTCATGATCGTGAGTCCCAATCTTTCAGGACTGGTGTCTTTATAAAGAAGACGTGAGACACCCCAGAGCTGTCACTCTCATCCTGCGAAGGCATAACTGGGGGTGCTGACTGGGAGTCCGAGCACTGGTGTGCGGCTGGAGAAAGCAGCAACTGTGAGGGAAATGCCAAGAACCACAGTGCCTCCCCCACAGCCCAATGGGCCCTTGACCCTGGACAGCTTAGCCTCCAGAACCGTGGGAAAGAGATTTCTCACAGAGAGTTGTTTAAGTCACCTGGTCTGCAGTATCTGTCACAATAGCCCTCACAGATCAAGGCAGGCTCTAAAATCTGTGCCAGGCCAGCGCCTGGAGGTGGGCTTCTGCCGCCTGGAAGAAGGAGCCCTAGGCTCCTCTCCCCAGTATCGTGCAAAAACAAAACAAAACAAAAAAAAGGTGGGGGGAAGACTGTCTTTACACTTTAGGTAAGAGTTCCATTATCCCTGGCTAGGACACAGCCTTTTTATTTTTAGATAGGATCTCCGTATGTAGTTGCCCAGGCTGGCCTCGAACTCGTGGTGATCGTCCTGCTCAGCCTACGGGGTGCTGGGATCACAGGCACGAATCACCGCGCCCGCCAGGACACGGTTCTGTGAACCCTGCATAGTGATCCCTGCTCCCTCTGCGCCCTGCGAGCGTAGATCTTGCCACTGAGGCACTGAGGATGCCTCGCACAGGGCGGCCCTGCGTGTTGTGACTGGGTGAGCAAACTGAGATTGTCCCTTTAGCGCAGAACCGACGGGGCAGTTCCCTCAGGCGCCGCAAGCCTGACGCGAAGTACGCATGCGTCCTGTACACCTCCCCAGAGCAGACGCCAGAGCAGAGCCCAACTCAGGGGGCGGGGCCTCACTACAACACGCCCCGTATGGGCGTGGTCAACCAGAATCCTCGGGGAGGGGCGGGGCCTAACCTTTGGCCCAGCCCACGGGGGCGGGGCCTCCCAGCGCGCACTCCCGGAAGCGTCGCCGACCCCGCCCTTCTGCCCCGGAGAGGCGTTGCCATTGCTACCGCCGCCCCTGCCGCGTCCCCGTTGTCGCCGCGGTCATGCCGGTAAGTGGCCCGCCGCCCGGGTCGCGCACACCGGGGCCTAGCTGGCACCGCCGCGTGACCTGATGCTGAGGGCGGCGGTGCGCGGGTTCCTCCGCTCACCCCTCGCACCCGCCCTCCGGCCTCTGCGACGCTCCGGAGGGACCGAGCCGGAGGGCTTCCCTCTAAAGCGGGCTCCGGAGTTCGGGGTGCACGGCCTCTGCGAGTACACGCCCTCACCTCCCCTGCCTGTACTGTGTGGGGAGGAGAGGCCCCCAGGGCGGCCGGCGGGCTGGGACGCGGGCGCCGCGTCCCCGGTTCCGCGTGGCCGCCCCTGCCCAGCCGGCAGGCCTGGGGGTGGCGGGGCAGCAGGTGGCGGACCCAGCCTTGCCTGGAGGGCTGCGTGTTCTCCCCGCTTCCCTGCTGCGCTGGCCCCGCCCCGCTCGGCGCTGGGCGGCAGGGATTCGAAGCGGGGCTTTGCGCCTTTCCAGCCGGGCGCTTTTACCCTGAACCCCGAGACCCAGAGCGCGTCGGGAACCTGGCCACCCTGGCCAGTGGCTGAGGTCAGAGTTTGGGGAGGAACGAGAGAGGAGGATTTAGCTCGCTTTGCCGCTGTCTAAGCCAGCCGTGGACGGGGACGCCACAGTCTGTTTCTCAGATGACAGGTTAAGGCCTTGGATAGAATTTAAAAAGAAAAGCCCAGGAATTTATTGGGAGTAACCACTGGAAACTGGGTAGAATCAGGATTAAGCCCCTTCCTTCTTCTACCAGCCTGCCGGCCAGACAAAACCAGTCCTACTGGCTTGGGAGAACACTCTGATACTGCGGTCCCGAGACGCTGGCGTGGGAGATGCTGGCGTGGGTCGCGGAGTGTTTAGTGTTTAGTGTTTAGTGTTTAGCTGTCGGGCGTTTGGTTCGTGCCCTGGGCCAGGTAGGTACCCAGCGTTATCCGAAGATGCACCTTGGCCTTAGCAGCCTGTCTTCTGGGAGCTGACAGGTGAGCCTGAGGCTCCCTAGGCAGAGCTTGAAACTTACCACGTGTCATTTCTATGGGTCTTGCCAGGTGCCTTGAGACAAATCCCTAAGTAACACAAAATGTAGACAAAGAAGCTGATAGAATCGGCCCTACCAGTTGAGCAAGTCCACCTGCCGGCAGGATTAGAGGCAAGCACAAATGCCCCTGGGACCCTCGGGGTCACCAGTGGAGGCCACCACGTTGTTGCTGGGGGGATATCAGTGAGGGAGCGGCCAGCTTCAGGGTGTCCACTTCTGTGTCCACTTCTGGATCGGGGCGAGGAGGGCACTTGGCATCATACCAAAGACACACGATTAAAGGGAGGTGGGTGTTGGTCTGACCACTGCCTCGAAGCAGGATGGGGAGGAGCTCTGACCTGAGAAGCTTCTCAGACAAAAGCTGAGCAGCGCAGGGCTTGGAATCCCGCAGTCCTCTGGAAATCCGTGACCTTCCGGGCCAGCTGCATGCACATAAGCATGTTACCTTCCCCTCTCTTCTTTGATTTCCTCATTTGTAATACAGGGATAAGACCTGACCTCGCAGGACCATTGTTAGCACACCTGGGAAACCCCAGTAGGATGCAGAGTGCTGCCACTGACACAGCCAGTCGCCAAGATGTGGACTCCCTGGAGTAGACCTAGGACAAGTGGGGCAGAACTGTAGCTAGGCAGGTTTCAACTCTCTTTTTTTCTTTTCTTCTTGTTGGGACTGAACCCAGGGTCTTGTCTTTTCTTTTCTTTTCTTTTCTTTTTTTGTCTTTTTGAGACAGGGTCTCACTATGCAGTTCAGGCTAGACCTGAAGCTCACTTTGTAGCCCAGGCTGATCTCGAACTTGCAGTGATCCTCCTGCCTCAGCCTCCCGAGTGCTGGGATTATATGCATGCACCACTATGTCCAGTTTTTTTTTTTTTTTTTTGAGACAGGGTCTAACTATATAGTTCAGGTGGTCCTTGAACTCACTATGTGCCGCAAATCTGAACTGCCCCTGCCTCCCAAGTGCTGGAATTACAGGCATGTGCCACCACGCCTGGCTGAACCTAGGGTCTTGGGCATACTAGGAAATGGCTATATCACAGTGCTACATCCCCAGCTTTTTTGTAAAAATGTGTATTTTGGTTTTTTTTTTTTATGTGTATTTTGAAGTGCTGGAGATATAGCTTAATGTTAGGTAGAGTGCTTGCCTAGCATGCGTGAAGCCCTGCATTTGATCCATAGCACTGCAAAGAAAAAGAAAAAACTTTCTTTTGAGATGAGGTCTTGCTGAGTTGTCCTACTTTGCCTTGAATTGCTGATCCTCCTGCCTCAGTCTCCTGAGTAGCTGGGACTACACATGCTGCCATGCTGGGTTTCAACCCCGTTTTAAGGAAGACCTCAGTGGTTAAGAGTTGAGCTTTTAGGGATTGGCCAGTCCAGACCCTGAGTGAGGGTCCTAACCTTTAAATCTCAGTTTCCTCTTGCATCTAGAGGGGGCTAATAAACTGGCTGTGGTGGTGCACACCTGTAATCCCAGCACTCAGGAGGCTGAGGCAGGAGGATCTTCCGTTCAAGGCTACCCTGGGCTACATAGCAAGTTCAACGCTGGCCTGGACTATATATATATATCGAGATCCTGTCTCGAAAGGCGGGGTAATAATAGTAATAGTACTTGCTTTATGGGGTTGTTAATGATGATCACACAAGGTAATTCACATAAAGTGTCTGGACCAATCACTGGCACATGGTTGGCCCTGAAATATTAGTGGCCTCACAGTATCCAAGGATGAAGTCATTTCTTCCCTAGACTCGAGGCCCGCCTTTCCAGTTCTGAGGTTCTAGTGAAAGCGTTTCATGTTACCTTAAGTCCCCTTTGAAGGACTCCTTCTATGAGTGACAAAGCAGCAGCCCCAAGCAGCCGGGACCGCCCCAAGTCCAGCCTGTGGCGGCAGGACAGGTCTTGAGAGTCACCTCTGCAGATAGATGGCTGTCCTTAAGCAGACTTCCTGCCGCCTTAAATTTAGTTTTGCAACTCAGGTGGAGGAGGAGAGCCCTGAAATGTCGTGTTTGCTGCCAGAAGTCACCTCTGACCTCGGCAGCCTCCGACCTCTGTACCCCAGAGGGTAGAGGAGACCTGGTCCCCGTGGGTGGTGGCAGGTGTCCCAGATCTCTGTGGACTTCTGGTCGGTGCTGGGGCAGCAGCGCTGAGAATCAGGGCTGTGGGGTTGGCAGGCTACTAGGTCCTTCCAGACCAACGTGACTTCCTTCCTGTCCTCAGTGCCCACTCCCCATCAAGGGGTGGGTATCCTGGAACCTTCATGCTCCGCCTTGAGTTGAATAAAATGGGCAGCTCCATTTGCAGGCCGGAAAGACGAAGCAAGCAGGTCTGACCCCTGAGAGGCCTCTGGCAGGTTTAACTCTCATGCTGCTCTTGTTTTGTTTTGTTTTGTTTTGTTTTTTGTCTTTTTGAAACAAGATCTCGCTGTGCAGTTCAGGCTGGCCTTGAACTCACTCTGTAGCCCAGGCTGGTCTCGAACTCACAGCGATCCTCCTGCCTCAGCCTCCCGAGTGCTGGGATTACAGACATGTGCCACCATGCCCAGCTCTTTTACTAATTTTTTGAGGCTCTAGGGATCAAACCCAGGGCCTTGGACAGACTAGGTGAGTGCTTTGCTGCTGACCTACATCCCCAGCCCTTCACCCTGCTCTTTGAGGGAAAGAGAAGAGAGAATGAAAGAAAACAATCTTAATAATCCAGAAACTAACTTTTTGCCCTGAGGAATTTAGTATTAGACTCTAGCTTTCTTTTTTTTTGGTCTTTTTGAGACAAGGTCTCGCTGTACAGTACAGCCTGGGCTAGAGCTTACTTTGTAGCTCAGGCTGGTCTCAAACTTGAAATGATCCTCCTGCCTCAGCCTCCCACGTGCTGGGATTACAGGCCTGCACCACCATGTCCAGCTAGATTCTAACCTTCTTACCTAGTGGGTTGGTTATCTAGTGCTCCTTACTAATAATCCCAAAATAGTAGTTTTAAACACAAAGACATGGATTTGGAGAGGCAGGAATCTGGGAACAGCTGAGCTGAGTGGGTCAGGCTTAAAGTCTCCCACAAAAGTATAGTGGACGCATGGTGGCTCACACCTGTAATCCTAGCACTCAGGAGGCTGAGGCAGGAGGATCACTGCAAGTTCAGTGCGGTGGGCTACATAATGAATACAAGGCTAACCTGTACTACGTACTGAAACTGTCTTAAATAGAGAAATAAATGAAAGAGTAAGCTTCTAGTGATCCTGATGCTACTGAGATCTTCCCTGGTGTCCGTGGTCTGCGGTGGCCGGTGGACCTGAGTACTGGTATGGCGCGGGGTCACTGCTCCCGGGCTCGGCTCACAGTCCCCCTCCTTTCAGAAGCACGAGTTCTCCGTGGACATGACCTGCGAAGGCTGCGCGGACGCTGTGTCCCGCGTCCTCAACAAGCTGGGAGGTGAGTGAGCTGGGGTCAGGGCCCCCGAGCCGGTGCCACGTGCAGTGCGGGCCAGTGGGAGGGGCCTTGGTGTCAGCTGAATCAACAGTACCGCCGAAGCATGTGGGACACTTGCAAGTGTGTCAGGCGCACCACTTAGTGGTTTGTGTGGATCCCGTCACTGAACCCTCAGGACATCCGTTTCGGGGCACATTTGTGTCATCTCCACCCCTCCCTCGCCCCTGTGTCCAAGTCCTTTTCTCTTTTAAATTTTGAGACGGGGTCTTGGGAAGTCATTAAATTGCCCATGCATGGCTCAAAATTGTAATCCTCCTGCCTCAGCCTCCCGGAGTGCTGGGATTACAGGTGTGCACCAACCTACTGGTTGAACATCTGCATTGTAAAGCAGGAGCTGGGGTTCAGAGAGGCTCAGTAGCTGTGTAGAAATCACAGAGCCATTAGGTGCCAGAGCTGGGATTTGCCACGCCGTCCTGCTCGGGAGCTCTGCCAGGACTCGTTAGTACCTTGGTGATCTCCAGTGTGACAGCTTTGCTGTACGACACATCTCAGTGTCATTTTCCAGTGAGACTTTGTAAATGCTGACTGTGAGTGTGTGGTATTAAGGATTGAACCCAGGGACTTGTACTGAGCTACATCCCCAGCCTTTTTAAATTTTGAGACAATCTCTCACTAAGTTGCCTAGGCTGGGCTTCAACTTGTGATCCACCTGCCTCAGCCTCCCAGAGTACTGGGAAACTCTGTGCAGAACCATTTTTGGGGGCCTTGAACTCACTAGCCCAGGCTGGCCTCAAATTCATAGCAGTCCTCCTGCCTCAGCCTCGCAAGTGCTGCGATTACAGGCATCCGCCACCACGAACACCTGGCACAGAAACTCTTAAAGCAGCTCATGGGAGGGGCAACCATGTGAGGGGAAAAAGTTCCTGAGTGAAACGGCCAAGGGTGGAGGCTTCTGGTCCCAACCCTTGCGGCTACTTTGAATAGTGCGGCATCTGTCCCAGAGAGCAAATGAAAAATAGTTGCCCAGCGTGACAGTGCACTGTACAAACAGGTCTTGCCAAAGACTTGCTGCCCAAGCTGGCTCAAGCTTGCAGTTTTCCTGCCTCAGCCTCGCAGAGCGCTGGGGTCACGGGTGCCAGCCACTGTGCTGCGCAGCTCAAGGACAAATTTGAAGCCTGCTGTGTTCAGTGAGCCACAGTTTTCTTCCAGCTCTGTGATGCTGCCAAAATATTTATTCCCAAGATGAGGGAGACCCTTCCGAACCAGAAACAGATCCAGAGTGTGGCAAGGACACAGCATTTCTCACCCCAGGTACCCATGCTGTACCAGTCCGCACGGCAGCAAAACCGGGCGCCAGGTGCCCAGGCCCCACGGCTGGTGGCGAGCTGGCCGGGTTCCCTGCCCCTCTGTCTCCTCGCACCGTCCTTGGGCGACCTGAGCCTGCCCGGAGCAGGAAGGACTGGGTGGGGGATCCCAGCCGTGTCCTGTGCACCTGGTGAACTGAGACCTGGATCACCAGGATCCAGCCGTGGTCACCCAGCAAGTGAGCGGCGAGGCCAGTGGACACCCTCGCCGGGCACTCCCCATGCGTTTCTCTGGTTTGTTTATTCTGAACCCACGGCCCTCACATGGAGCTCCATCCCAGGCCCTTTTTACATATTTTGAGACAGGGTCTCTGCCCAGCGTGGGCTAAACTTGGAGTCTTCCTGTCTTGGTGAGCACGGCCACATCCAGCTCACTGTGTTTCTTTGGCCCCAGAAAGACTTTCCAGGTCCTCCCATGTGCCGCCGCCGCCGCTGCTGCTCTAAATTGGCAAATCTGGGCCGGGGATATAGCTCAGCACAAGCGCCTGCCTGGCAAGTGTGAGGTCGTGAGTTTGAGTACTGGCACTAAATAAATACATAAATAAATAAGCAGGCAAGCGAGCAGGCAGATCTTTTAGGAAGGCCGTTTTTTTCCTTTTTGGCAGTGCTGGGGATTGAACAAAGAGGGCAATTTTGCAATATCTTTTTTTTTTCTTTTTGTCTTTTTCAGACAGTTTCCCTATGCAGTTCAGGCTGGTCTTGAGCTCACTTTGTAGCCTAGGCTGGCCTCGAACTCACAACAATCCTCTTGCGTCAGTCTCCCGAGTGCTGGGATTACAGGCATGCTGCAATATCTACTAACATTCAACACGTGCCAGTCTGTTGCCCTCTCAGTTTCTTTTTTTTTTTGTACCGGGATGGAACTCAGGACCTTGAGCTTGCCAAGCAAGGCGCTGTGCTGCTGAGCTGTATCCCTGGCCCCTGCCTTCTCAATTGCTATTCTGTGACTTTATGGAATGGAAATACTTTCCCAAGTTTGCTAAGATACGTTCAAGTATGTTTACTGTTGTGATGGCGGTGAAGCCAGGTGTGGTAGCACACTCCTATAATCCCATCACTCAGGAGGCTGAGGCAGGAGGGTCCCTAGGAATTCGAAGTCAGGCTGGGCTACATAGTGAATTGAAGACCAACCTGAACTGCCCAGTGAGACCATCACAAAAAAAAAAGTAGAAGGGACATTAATGTCCTGTAAGAGGGGCTGAGAAACTAAGTAGATAAAGCGATATCCACACTGTGAAAGACGACGTAGCTGATCAAAGGAAAAACAAGAGGCTGCAGGGGTAGCTCAGCAGCAGGATGCACGCTTAGCATCTGCAGGACCGCGTTTGGCCTCCAGCACTCTTTAAAAACTTACTAAATTACAGGGAAGGAGATGAGTCTGTATGTGCTAAGTGGGAAGGATGGAAAGTAGGCATAGAAGAGCGAAATGTTGGCAAGACCTGTTTGTACAGCGCACTGTCACGCTGGGCAACTGTTTTTCATTTGCTCTCTGGGACAGATGCCGCACTATTCAAAGTGGTCGCAAGGGCCGGGACCAGAAGCCTCCACCCTTGGCGGTTTCACTCAGGAACTTTTTCCCCTCACGTGGTTCTGCTGTCGGGTGGTTTCTTCAGAAACCACTCGCCACTCAGAAGTATTCCAGGTCCCCCTGCCTTGAACACAGAGCTGGACAAGCCAGAAACGGCGCCAGAAAGTTTATTTGAAAAGTGAGGGGTGCAGTCATGAGAACCACAGGTTCTGAAGGCTGTGGTGATACTGGGAAGGAGATGACAGCTACAGTGCAAGCCCGGGGAAGCAACGACAGCAGCAGCATGTGCATGTGCACGAACGCCCCTTGGTTACCAAGTGTGCACCCTCACTTCAACAAGATGGGACACCTCCTGTGTTGCAAGCCCCTCAAGCAAACCTGGACTGTGAAATTCTGTCGCATCCATCACAGCCACTGGACCTTTCGCTAAGGGACTACCATCTTTTTCATCCTTGGAAGCAATGCAGCTGAGTGTGATGGTACACACCTGTAATTCCAGCCCTCAGGAGGATGAGGCAGGAGGATCGCTACAAGTTCAAGGCCAGGCCAGCTGCTTAACTACATAGTGAGGCCCTGTCTAAAAAAACCCACACTTCCCAATTGAGAAGCAGCAACTGGAGGATTTGAACAATTTATATAGTCTAACAAAATAATTTTATGGAATTAAATATTAATATCTTTAAAAATGCTGATACATATTGACTGAATAAAACTTATTAAAAAAAGAAAGAAAAGTGAGGGGTGAATAGGTTTGCGAGAAACCAGCTCTGTAGAATGAATTCGAACAAAGGAAGAAGAGGGTAAAAGGGAAAAAAATAAAAGTCCAGGCGGACCCTCAGAAACACAGCGGCAGCTATGTGGGAACTCATGCAGGACAGCGGCTTCTGGGGGCGTCTGGTCTTTTACACCGCCCACATCTCGTGGGAGCTCGCGAGAACTTCTTACATATGTCCCCGGCGTTGCCCTGGGATCTTGTAATTGACGGATCCCACTCATTTCCCCCGCCAGCTTTGCCACGCCCTATCTCCTATATGTTTGTCTGTATTACTTTTGCAATTAAAAAAATAAAAGTGGTCCTAATCTGGAGTATAGGGATAGGGCCAGGGATAGAGCTCAGCAGCAAGCGCAAGGTCCTGAATGAATCCCGGTATCCACCCACCCCCAAATAGAGTAGGGATAATAAAACTACAGGTTGTGGATCATGTCCAGCTCACAGTGTATTTTTGTACAGTGAAGAATGGTAATTACATATTTCTTTTCTTTTTGGTGGTCTTGGAGGATTTTGTGTGTGTGTGTGTGTGTGTGTGTGTGTGTGTGACACGGTCTCACTGTGTAGATCAGGCTGGCCTTGAACTCCTTATGTAGCCCAGGCTGCCCTCAAACTCATGGAGATCCTCCTGCCTCAGCCTCCAGAGGGCTACAATTATAGGCATGCACCACCACGCCTGGCTGGGACGGGGGTACTTACAGAGAAGGATATGCAGTGGAGTCCACATGTGGCCCACAGTGCTTAAAAGATTTCTTCTCCCTGTAATCCCAGCACTCGGGAGGCGGAGGCAGGAGGATCGTTGCAGGTTCAAGACCAGCCTGGGCTACAAAGCGAGCTCAAGGCCAACCTGAACTGCATAGTGAGACCCTGTCTCAAAAAGACCAAAAAAAAAAAAAAAAAAGATTTCTTCTCTGGCCAGATAGAAAAGGCCTCTCAGGGCCGGGGATACAGCTGAGCACACAGCACCTGCCTGACAAGCACAAGGTCCTGAGTTCAATTCCCATACCAAAAAAGAAAAAAAACACTTGTGGAGTCCCTGGTCTCAAGGAAAGAGGCAGGGTGATGCTGAGCAATAACTTAGGAGTCTGGACTCTGCGGCTGGAAGCCGGAGGGTCTCGGCCTCTGCCCCGCCCCCCTTCCTCTTCCTGCAGGAGTTCAGTTCAGCGTCGACCTGCCCAGCAAGAAGGTCTGCATCGACTCTGAGCACAGCGTGGACACCCTGCTGGCGACCCTGAATAAGACGGGCAAGACCGTTTCCTACGTGGGCCCCAAGTAGCCCCTGGGGACGGGCTGACGCTTACGGCGGGGTGAGGCTCCCACCTCCCAGCGGGGACGCGGGGGGGTCTCTCATCTGAGAGGTGGGGCGCCCGAGCTGTTCCCAGTTTTAGGGTATTTGTGTGGGTTTCACCGGTTGAGCATCCCAAGTGGGAAAAGCCAAAATCAGAACACTCCGAGGTTGTTGCCAAGCGGGGTTCAAACTCAGGACCCCCCTGCCTCAGCCTCAGCGGGGGTTACAGGCCTGTGCCACCGCGCCTGGCTAGAACGTTCTTGTGTGTGTGCGGGTCACATGCTCACAATTTTTCCTATCTGAAGCATTTTGGAATTCAGATCTTCAGTACAGGGATACTTACCCTAACGCCAGGCCTTTAGGTCTTGAGTGGGGTGAGGGATCACCCCGGTTTATTTCAGCCTACTGTCCACCTTCTTCGGAGTGGTCTAAAATACCGTATTATGGCCTAATGGAAGGCGGAAGTTCAGGGGATCCTCACAGCCCCCCGGAGTCCCCTTCGGGACAGGGCCTGCGTTTAGATGCCTGACCCCGAGGGGAAGGCCTTGCTCTGGTGAAGGGCCCGCCCTTCCCCTCCCCGCAGCGGCGCCGCCTGCACCCCGTGCGCGGACCAGCGAGTGGTGCACTCTAACCCTCCGCTCCGCCCGGGCCGCGGTCGCGCTCTGAGCCAGGCCCTGCCCGGACCGGTGCGAAAAGCACAGCCCCTCCGGCCCTTCCCGGGAAGCAGGCGGGAAGTAGCGCGGGCGGCCTCTCTGCGGGGAGGCAGGGCAGACCTCGCCCCGGTGCTGGGTGCCTGGTGCCCGCCGGGCTTAGCCGGAGGCGCCGGGCTGGGGCGCCGCGCACGCTTGTGCCCCCCCCCCTTATGATCGTCCTCCCCGAGGTGCGGCTCCGCCCCCCAAGGTCGCGAGCGCGGGAGGGCAGCAGTGGCGGAGCGGGCAGAGGCGGGGCGGGAGGGGCCTTTGTCCCCCCCGAAGGTGGGCGCCGTGCCGCGCGCCCCTGGTGACCGCGCGCGGAGCTGGGGTGTCGGATGCCGTTTTCCGGATTGCGGTCCTGGTACGCGGCCCGGGCAGGCGCCGTGGACTGCGAACTCCTGCCTGGGCGTGCGTGCCCTTTCTTGCGTCCTGAGGGCAGCACCCAGGGCCTCGCGAGTGCTCCCGCTCGGAGCTCGGCTCCGGCCTTGCCGTTTTACTACAAGGTAGGGTCTTGCGGCTGGGCCGGCGGCGCGCGCCTGGAACCCAGCTGCTCGGGCGGCCTAGGCAGGTTTGAGCCCAGCCCGGCCGACTCCGAGAGACCTTGTCCCGAAATCACAGAGGGCTTCGGGTGGAGCTGGGGGTGAAGGCCGTGCGTGCAGCCCCGAGTACCGCTAAGAGTAGAAAGCCTCGCTGCCTTGCGCCGCTGGCCGTGAAGCTGGGATCGCGGTCCGCACCCCCAGCCGCGGCTGCGGGAACCGTGTTTAACAAGACAGTACCTGCTGTTTGTAAAGCATGTGTGCTTGATGTGTTGCTTTCTCATCTTTTTAAAAAGTTAAGTCGACACGTGACGTCCTTTACCATTTAAAGTGCCCGGGAGTGGCGTGGGGCGCGTCCCAGTGCCGGCTATCCAGCTTCATCCCTTTCTCATCCTGGAAAAACACCCCCTGGCCACCGCCTCCCCCTGCCCCCTGCAACCCCTAATCTGCCTTCTGCCACTCGGGATTTGTCTAGTCTGGTATTTTATGTAAAAGGAATTATGCCACGTGTGACTTTTGTGTGTCTGACTTCTTTCACTCAGCTTTCACCAAGATTCACCCTATTTGTATTTGTATATTTTTTTTCTTTTTGTCTTTTTGAGACAGGTTCTCGCTATGCACTTTAGGCTGGCCTTGAGCTCACTTTGCAGCCCAGGCTGGTCTCGAACTTGCAGTGGTCCTCCTGCCTCAGCCTCCCGAGTGCTGGGATTACAGGTGTGCCGCCACGCGCAGCGGTATAACATCTGTTTTAAGAGGCTCCCTGCTGGTGGATTTGGAGCCAGGTTTGGGAACCGCAGAGTCAGAGAGCTTACTGGTCATGAAATCACATTGATGATGGGCTGGCTGTCGAGAGATTATTTGCTCATGATTCTGCTACACCTTTGCGTCTTAAACTGAAACAGCGCGGCGGGGGAGGGGCGGTGGGCCCGCGCATGCGGCAGCACCCGGAGCGCCCCCCGAATCGGCCTCTGCAAGGCTTTGCTTAGCGAGGAGGCTGGGCTCTGACCCCGCCCCCGAAGCCTCGTGTGTTGCCCTGCAATGCTGCCGTGTGCACAGCAGGGGGCGCGCCGGTCCCATGTAACTTCTCTTTGTCTCCCCCAGCTGGCTTCCACACAGACCTGGGACCCGGCCTGCCGCTCGGCGCTGGAGCCTGCCTCTTCCCAGCGTCCCTGCAATGACGTCGAGCTGCCTTTGTTGGAGAAGTTGTCCTTGCGTGGCCCGGCGCTGCCTGCCCCCTGATGCTGCGCCTCTTACATCGGAGCTTCCCACTCGGGGCAGGCGGCCTGCAGATTAGGTCTTGGCCGTATGATCCCCCTGGGCAGCACTTTCCCTCATTAAAAGCCAAGCTGTTGGGCCCGATCAGTGCCATCCTTGCCTTTCTTGGACTCCATAGTTTGAAAACCTAGTTCACCAACTGAATGGCGCGTAAAAGCTATCAATGTGAAAGCAGTTGGTATAATGGCAAGAGGCGTAGAGAGGCTGCCGGCTGCAGCACCTCGCAGATGAGCCCTTTACCCTCTCCCTGGCCACAGGCGTAAGGTGGGAAAGCAGCTGCAGCGGCCGATCGACATGGGGATTCAATTAGGTGGTTATATAAGACTGGCCCTCAGGAGGCTGAGGCAGGAGGATGGAGGCCAGCCAGGGCTACATAATGAGTTCAAGGCCAGCCTGAAATACACAGTGGGACCCTTCCTCCAAAAACCAAAACAAAATTGGAAAACTACTTTTGCATATTTAATTAATTGAGTACCTATGAAAATGGTGATTAGAATTCTAGTCAATCAAAGGATTAGTGCCTTACAAAGCTATTTTTTGTGTCGATACAATTTGACTTTTAGTTCGTATAGCTTATTTGGGGGAGGAGGGTTTTGAGACTGGCTGGCCTGAAACTCAGAGCAGTTGCACGTGTACACCACTGCTCTCAATAAACTGTCACCTTACATACACTTCGAAAAATTACTGAGAATCTTGGAGAGGTCCTGGTTCTGTGGGTTATACCATATTAGATATAACAGCAAGTTTTTGTTTCAGGGTTTTTTGTTTTTTGGGGTTTTTTTTTTTTTTTTTTTTTTTTTTGGTCTTTTTGAGACAGGGTCTTGCCATTCAGTTCAGGCTGGCCTTGAGCTCACTTTGTAGCCCAGGCTGGTCTCGAATTTGCAGTGATCCTCCTGCCTCAGCCTCCCGAGTGCTGGGATCACAGGCGTGCACCACCGCGCCCCACTAAGAATTTGTTAAAGCTCTGACAATCCGATCCGAACGGAGCACACGGCCTCACACCACCGGGACCGGAGGCCAGCTCACCGCGGTCCTGCAGACCTGGGGGCCTCGCTGCAGTTCTTGGGCGGGGGAGCCCTAGGGCATCGCTTCTGCCTGGGACACTCACTGCTGTCACCGCAGGGCGCCGGGCCCGGGGTCTCGTCCCGGAGCTGTCTCCCCCGGCAGCTGCTCGGTCCCGGCCGCTGGAGGAAGCGGCGCTCCGGACCCCGAGGCTCCTTCACGTGTGTGCCATGGGCCTGGCTGCCTGGCGCCCTGGGCCCCTCCGGGCGGCGCTCCCCGCCCTGCCCCGCTCCGCTCCGCGCTTCCAGGCCACGTTGGGCGGATGCCTTCCCCTCCGCCCACAGCCGCTGCGCGGGCCCCAGCTGCCTCGGCGTTGGCTGCGGCTCGCAACCGGCGCGTGCGCGGCTCCTTCCCGGCGTCAGCGCACGGGCACACGCGCGGGGCAGGCGCGCCTGGACGCCAGGGAGAGCCGTGTGCGAGTGGCGCGTCTGTCCTGTATCAGCTCGCCCATCGCGGACGCTGGGGGTCGGGACAGCCCTGGCTGCGCAGCCCGAAGGTGACCCCAGCAGCTGCCCGGAACCGCGGGAGCCTGTGCCGGAGTCCCTCCACCCGCAAGTGCGCTGGACGCCGGACCCAGAGCCTTCTCCCCGAGCTATTCCCCAGCCATTCGTGTGTGTGTGTGTGTGTGTGTGTGTGTGTGTGTGTGTGTGTGTGTGTGTGTGTATTTGGGGGTTTTTGAGACAGGGTCTTGCAATGTAGTTTTGGACTGATCTTGAACTCTGTATACGTCCTCCTGCCTCAGCCTCCTGAGTGCTGGGATTGCAGGTATGCCCCACCATACCTGTTTTTGTGTTTTTTTTTGTTTTTGTTTTTTTTTTTATTTTCCGGTACCAGGAATCGAACTCACGACCTTGCGCTTGCCAGGCAGGCGCTGTGCCGCTGAGGTAAATCCCCAGCCCCCTGGTTTGGTTTTTTAAGCAGCATTTTTGAGGTATAATTTCCTTCAAAACACTACATGTATTTAGAGTGCATAATTTAAGATACAAAGAGTACTCAACACATATACACTGGTGAAACCAGCACCGCAATTAAGATACAGTAATGACCTGTTGATCACCTCCAAATGTTCTCTTGTGCCAGACCGCAGCGGTGTGCAAGTGAAACCCCAGCTGTGAAGAGGCCAGCCTGGGGAACTTGGTAAGCCCTTGTCCCAGAAAATAAAACAGGCTGGAGATGTAGCTCAGTGGTAAAGCGCCCGCTAGTGTGCCTGCGGCCCTGGACCGTACCCCACCGCTCACACAGCCGAGAAAGAGAGAGAGACAGGGAGAAAAGTTTCCTAGAGCTCCCTGGCAGTCTTCCCTCTTCTCTCCAGCCCAGCTAACCACTGATCCCCTTTTCTGTAGCTGTAGCCTCAGTATGTGCTCACGTTTTGCCTAGCTTTTTTTTTTTTTCTTTTTTTGCCACACTGGCGATTGGACACAGGGCCCGGGTATGCTACACCCACAGCTCCAGCATAAATATTTTGAGATTCATCCATGTTGTTGTAGACACCAGTAGTTCATTTTATTTTTTTCCCTGAGCGCTAAGTATTTCATGGTGTGGCTGTACCAGCAAGTGCTGGTCACTCCTTACTGGCTGGACATTTGAGTTGTTCCCAGGTTTGGGGTTTTTTTTGGTCTTTTTGAGACAGGGTCTCACTATGCAGTTCAGGCTGGCCTTGAACTCACTTATATAGTCCAGGCTGGCCTTGAACTCACAGTAATCCTCCTGCCTCAGCCTCTTGAGTGCTGGGATTACAGGCAGGCGCCACTACAGCTGTGTTTTTTTGTTTTGTATTGTTTAATTGGTTGGTTTGGTTTGATTTTTTTTGTGTGTGTCTTTTTGAGACAAGGTCTCACCATGCTGTTCAGGCTGGTCCTGAGCTCACTTTGTAGCCCAGTCTGGTCTCGAACTTGCAACGATCCTCCTGCCTTAGCCTTCTGAGTGCTGGGATTACAGGTGTGCGCCACCACGCCTGGCTAGTTTGATTTTTTGAGACAGGGTCTTGCTGTGTAGTTCAGGCTGGACTTGGACTCACTATGCAGCCCAGGCTGGCCTCGAACTCACATGGACCCTCCTGCCTCAGCCTCCTGAGTACTGGCATTACAGGCGTGCACCATCATGCCTGGCCGTTTAAACTGCTGCCTGGTACTCGTGAGTTCCTCAGAGTCCTGAGAGCCTCAGAGCCTCAGGGCACAGGGAGAGTAGGCCACACTCTCCCAACCCAGTATGTTCAAACCCACAGCAAAGCCGCCTCGCTCGGTGTTAAACTCTGAACCCCTTCACACTGGACGCAGATTCCTCCCCGACTCGGGGTGACTGTCGCTGTGGAAGAGTTGCTGTTTCTTTGGCAAAACTCAGTTTCCACATCTGCAACATGGGGGCCATAACAGTACCTACTGTGACGATCATGAGCCTTAAACAAGGTCACCATGTGTCTAACACTTGCAGTGACAATCCCAGCTTTTTGTCTGAGCAGAAATTCCACAATTATACCCTGGGAAGTCTGAGCGACCTCAGGGCTAGATCTTTGCAACTCCAGGAGCCAATAAAGAGTCAAAAACGGAAGCTGGAGGGAAGCACCAGGCCGGCCCATCCCTCGCTCTCCTATAATCAGTGCCGGCCTCTTTCAACCCCCTCCGCGATTTCCTGGGAGTGTCCGTCAGAGCCACGTTTAGATTTCCATGTCTTTAGGGCCTGCGGTTTCTTAGTGGATAAAGATGAGTTCCCTCGTCCACTGCCCGGGAGGGGCAGGTCTGCAGCCCCGGCTCATCTCCTGAGGAAACCAGACCCAGAGCCTGCGGCAGGAGGACGCCTTCCACTGGATGCCCGGGTGCCTGTCCTTTTGGAACCCGAGACCCGCAGCTTTTTTTAGGGATATAGCTAGGATGCAGAGGCTTGAAGCAGGCTGTACCTGAGGACACAGTGTCAAGCCGGGCATGGTGGTGCAAGCCTGTAGTCCCAGTACAGCGATACCTCGGTTCATGAACTTAATTTGTTCCACGGTTCTGGAAAAGGTGGCCACGTTCGTGTTCTGTGGGAAAGCGGGCCTCGGTCCTGCTCGTCACCCGATGCCGAGTTCACAGAAGCAGCTCATTGCCAAACACTTCTGTGAGTGAGCCACGTCGCTCACAAACAAAACTGCTTGTCAGCCGAGGTACCACTGTACTTGGACAGGCTGAGGCAGGAAGATTCCAAGTCTGTGCCCAGTCTGGGCAACCTAGGGACTCAGCAAGACCCTGTGTTGATTTTTAAAAGGTAAGGGGGCACCAGGCAGGCGTGGTGGTGCACACTTGTAATCCCAGCACTCGGGGAGGCTGAGGCAGGAGGATCGTTGCGCTTTTGAGACCAGCCTGAACTGCACAGTGAGACCCTGTCTCAAAAAGACAATAAATAAATAAATAAATAAATAAATAAATAATAAATAAATAAATAAATAAATAAAGGCGGTGGGGGCCGGCGGTGTAGCTCAGTACACTGCTCATGCGTCGTCCCTGGCCTTGCGTGTGCCTGCAGCTACCTCTAGGGACACTGGTCTAGTCCTTTCCCGCCAGAGCCGTCAGCAGCAGCAGTCCTTCCTTCCCCGCGCCCTTCTCTGGCCCAGCAGGAACGCCCCAAGTGACAGAGCTCTGGGCTAGCAGCACCTGCTCGCTGGCCTCTTTTGGATGCCCTGTCTCGGAGGCGGGAGCACACGCGCGGCGCTGGGCCCCTCTGATCCCAAACCGGCTCCCGGGGTCCCAGCTAGCAGCGAGAGCGCCGGCCGTCGCGCGGAGGCGGGGCCTGGCTGGCGTCCTCAGTCCTCCTGACCCGGAATATGGCTCCCAGATGGCATCTGGCCCCCAGGTGGCGACAGAAAGCACCCAGCGTGACAGGTCCTGGCGGGGGCTGGCTCCTGGCTGCTGCTCGGAGCCCGGATCCCACCGCTGCGGAAGAGGACCCGGCTTGGAACAGCCCCGGGCGCGGTCGTGTGGGGACGTGGCTCCTTCTCATTTGAACGGAAGCTACGGCTCCCTGTCTGCTCCCAGTAATTAGAGGCTGGAGAAGCCGGAAGGGGCAAGGGGGAGAGGCTGGGCGCGAGGTCTGGCCGGCAGCTTGGGGTCTAGAAGCTCCGGGTTCCCCTCCCGTGCTGAGAGCTTCCCAGCACCGGCTCCGGCCGCTGCAGGGACGGCAGCTGTCTCAGAGGTGCGAGGCTGTTAAACAGGACAGCGCCCATCTTACCAGTTTGTCCGTCTCTGCCCTCTTCCTGTCCCGGCATCCAATCCCAAGGACCACGTTGCGTGTTTAGCACTACCGTGGAGTAAGCCCAGGGCCTTCAGCGGAGCTACCTCCCCAGCCCTTTTTCATTTTTGACAGAGGGTCTAGTTAAACTGTTCAGTTCTTCATATGGGAATCTGATTTTTGTTTGTTTTTCTTCCGGCACCGGGAATCGAACTCAGGACCTTGCACTTGCCAGGCAGGCGCTGTGCCGTTGAGCTAAATCCCCAGCCCCTTGGGAATCCGATTTATGGTCTTCCTGCCTCAGCCTCCCAGGGATTACAGGCATGCATCACCACGCCCAGCTCCATGGCGCCTTTAGTCTAGCCGTTTAGAGTACTGGGGATTGAACACCGGCCTCCTCCGCTTCCCTCCCCTTCCTCTCCTTCCTTCCCTTTCCTCTTCTCTTTCCTTGAGACAGCTCTCCCTAAGTCCCTAAGTTGCCTCCCGCCTCGGCCTCCCAAAGTGCTGGGCTCATCGGCATGGGCTTCCGAATCTCCTTGGATCTGAGAGTTTCTGTCACTCCTCCCCTCTGTGGTGGTAGTGAGCAACCCGGCCGGCTGTTTCATCCCTTATCCCCTCGCTGGGTGTGGCCGTGTTCTCATGTCGAGCCTGGAGCTGGGGGGAGAGTGCCCAGAGTCAGGGTGTCCTGGCTACAGCGCCTTCGGGGGCTTGCTGTGCGTGTGTGCGACACTAGGCTGGGGCTCTGCTCCGTCTTCGGAGCATGCGCTTTCTTTTTTTCTTTTTTCTTTTTTTTGTGTGTGTTTTTGATACAGTATCACTATGCAGCTTAGGCTGGTCTTGAGCTCACTTTGTAGCCCAAGCAGGCCTCAAACTCGAAGCAATCCTCCTGCCTCAGCCTCCCAAGTGCTAGGATTATAAGCATGCGCCACCACGCGCGGCTATACTTGCTTATTAATATTATCTATTTTTTATTGGTTTTTTTTCAGGTACCAGGAATCGAACTCACAACCTTGCGCTTGCCAGGCAGGCACTGTGCCACTGAGCTAAATCCCCAGCCCCTATTAATATTATCTAAAGTTAGTAATCAGGGCCGAGGATGTAGTTCAGCAGGCTGAGGCTCCTGCCTGACAAGTGGGAGGTCCTGAGTTTGACTCTGGGTTCTAAATTAGTAATCATCTATGTATTTTTTCAAGAGAAAGTGTTGGAACGAGGATATAGCTCAGCAGCACAAGTGCCTGCCTGGCAAGTGCAAGGTCCTGAGTTCGATTCCGGATACCCCCAAAAAAAAGAGAAAGCGGTGAAGCTGGGCGTGGTGACGCACAACTGTAATCCCAGCACTCGGGAGGCTGAGGCAGGAGGATCATTGCAAGTTCAAGGCCAGCTCTACAAAGTGAGCTCAAGGCCAGCCTGAACTGCACAGCGAGACCCTGTCTTAAAAAGACCAAAAAAAAAAAAAAAAAAAAAAGAGAGAGAGAGAGAAAGCATTGATTTCTCTCAAGTAAGGGTGACCACGCATCCCTTTAGCACCCAGAACCCTATGTCCCCACAAGCTCTCAGTTCTAGGCAAAGCAGGGTGTTTGGTCACCGTGTTTAAATACCAAGTACATGTCAGGCAAGTTTGAACAGAGGGTGGTAAATCTGAGCAATGCGAGTAGTGATCTTGTTGTTTCCCTTAGAGGGGAATTGTGCACCAAACACTGTCCATAGAAAATAAGGATTTTTCCAGAACATTGGCTTTTAGATGACCGAATAGTATTCCATTGTGTGACTTACCCTTAGGGTCCTACTGATGGACATTTAGTTTCTTTCCAATGTTTTTCCATAGTAAATAGGCCATAAATGTTCTTATTTGTCTGTTCTATAAACGGATAAATTCTGCACTAATAATTTGTTTGGAAAGTAAGGTTTCCTGCTAAAAACAAAACCCAGAGCCATGGAAGACTTTCATCCAGGGCCTTCTGTGAGTCTCTCTCCCTCAGGTGACCGCCGGGGCTTCGGGCAGGTTTAAATGGGTGGGCAGCCAAGGCATAGGAAGGATGCCCGCAGGGGAGAGGAGAGGCTCCCTGAGCTTGCAGGGGAGAGAAGGCTCGGCCGGGGCTGCGGTTCCCAGCGCCCAGGCCCCGCTCGGAGGGGGTTGTTTATCAAGCAGTGGGAGCCGAGCTGGCCAGACTTGGAGGGGCGCAGGGCTGAGAGACTGGGCCCATTCAGCCGTGTTCTGAAAGGCGCAGGGGAAGGAAGGGAGGAAAAACAAGTCCAGACGCACGCTGGGTGGCTGCTGGCCAGCCGGCCCCTTAGCACGGGGAGTCCGGTGCCAGCCTGCAGGGCCACCGCTCCGCCTGGGCCCTCCCTGGACTGGGAGGTTTGGGTCCATGTGCAATTGCTTTCTGGGGCTCAGAGGAATGGATTTTTACAGAGCTTAGGACAGTTCAGTACTTTTCCAGAGCGATGGTCTCCCCGCGCCAGGAAAGTGGTTTTCCAGCCGTGCCGCGCACCCTGTGGGTTAATGCGTCCTTTGTCTGTGGAAGGAGCTGAAGTCTCACCTGCCAAGCTCCGCTGCTGCTAGCAAAACACAAGGTCCCGAAGTCCAGAACATTTGGGAAATGAAGCAAATTGTTTACGGGGGGATTCTGAGCCTTGCGTATGCGACGCTATACTTGAGACTTCTCCAGAAAAGAGGTAAAACGTGCACCACTTCCCTTTGGTGCTTGGAAGACCCTTTCCCCTACAGAATGTAACATTTTCGAGACTGTCGTTCCACTCTGACCCATAGGGTGAGGCCGAGGATGGAGGCCTGTCCTTCACTTCTGGGGCTGCGGGACAGAGAGGGCTGCGGAGTCCGGCCAAGGACGGGTGTTGGGCGCTGCCACACGCTACACCGAAGCCCGGTCTGTGTTGAGTCCACATCTTGCTGCTGCATCCCTGCCTGTTAGATGCAAAGGCTTCTGGGAAGGGCACGGCCAAGGACCTGGCAGCCTCTTTCTCTCGAGAGAACCGTGTGGGCAGAGCTGGGTGAGACACTGAGAGGCCCTCACGCCCCGAACCGGAGGAGGCGTTCACAAGCCCTTCCCCTCTGGGACTCCCTGGAAGAGGCTGCTTCCCACGGCTGGGGAATAAACTTCTCTCCCCTGAAAGAAGCTGGGGATGAAATGTTACAGCGCCAGAGAGGCGCTCAGGTCCAGTCGTCTGCTTTGTCACAAATTTGCTAACTGATCTTAGAATGTTATTTTTTTTTTTGTCTTTTTGAGACAGGGTCTCGCTATGCAGTTCAGATTGGCCTTGAGCTCACTTTGTAGCCCAGGCTGGCCTCAAACTCGCAACGATCCTCCTGCCTCAGCCTCCCAAGCGCTGGGACTACCGGTATGTGCTACCACACCCAGCTTAGAATGTTCTTTCCCAGGTATATATACATACAGCGGAACATCCACCAGGCAGTGGTGCTTGCCTGTGCTTTTAGCACTCTGTGAGGCTGAGGCAGGAGGGCTGCAAATTCGAGCCCAGTCTGGGCACCTTGGTTATTTAAAGAGACTTTGTCTGAAAATGAAAGAAAAAGACGCCAGGTATGTAGCTCAGTGCAAAGGCTCTGGGTTCCATCCCCAGTACCACACTCACACACACACACTCACACAGTCATACTCACACACACACACACACACACACACACACATGTTGTACATAGCATAAGGAAATATATGCAACTTTTATTTATCAATTTGAAAAGTCCCTTCACATCTCTGAGCTTCATTCTCTTCCTCCGTGGTACAAGGGCTCAGACTGCTCTTCTGCCGGCATTTTGGCCACAAGACGCTCCTGCCGAACAGCCTTCAGCGGTGCCCCGTACACAACAGAGGAGTGGTCTTCGCCCGGACGCTTTGAGTGAGTGTCGTAGCCTGCTAACACTGAAGCGTTCGCTGCACAAGCCAGGCGGAGGCTGTCAGAGCTGCTCTGGGAGGAAGCAGGGAGCTGTGACTGAGGGGGGCAAGCAAAAGTTTGTTTTTGTGCCAGGAATCAAACTCAGGACCTTGCGCTTGCTAAGCAGGCGCTGTGCCGCTGAGCTGTCTCCCCGACCTTTCTTCGTCGTTTTGAACTCACTATGCAGTTCAGGCTGTCCTTGAACTCACTGTGTAGCCCAGGCTGTCCTTGAACTCAAAATGATCCTCCTGCCTCAGCCTCCTGAATGCTGGGATTTCAGGCGTGTGCCACCACCCCCCGGCTTCAGAATTCTGTTTCTTGACCTGAGTAGCGTTTTTCTTAGTTATTCACAGTCACATTTCGAATCCATCGTAGTCAGTCACTGAAAACACCGATGTGTCAGCTCGATGGGGTGGCACAAAGCAGAAAACCCTAAATAAGATAGACGTTGGCCACCCGTCCGGGACCCTCCTGTCTCTCAGGAGCTATTCCGATTCCCCATTCTTCTCCCCAGAAAATTTTCCAACTCTTAACCTCTATCGCTCCTTAGAATTCATTCTTTGACTTGGGAGGATAGGAACTGGCGAGCTGACTCCTAGCGTCTCCCCTGCAGCATCTGATAAGAGAAGCTGCCCTTATGGATTGGTCGGTCTACAGCTTCCCGGCTTTGCCTCTCCCGGCCCTGCAGTGCCTCGTGGCTTCCGCAGTGTCGGGCTGAGGGGGCCCCCGTGCCTTGGCCCCTCGATTGCATTTCTCTGACTCTGACTCCATGCTCCTCTGGACTTGGTTCTGTTGTCCTCTGAGTTCTCTCCTTTTTTTTTTTTTTTTGTACCAGGAATCGAACTCATGACTTTGCGCTTGTCAGGCAGGTGCTGTGCCGCTGAGCTAAATCTCCAGCCCCTCCTCTGAGTTCTCTTGAGTCACTGTCCCCTGTATTTTCCTTGAGTCCCAGTAACAAGAAGACTGATGGGTGAACATCCTAGGACCAAAGGACCAAGACTATGTATGCTCTGAGCAACTGCGACCTTCATGATCCTGAGATGCCAGCCCGAGATGCCATGAACACTGCAAACTGAGTTACATTTACAAAGGCCTACTTTTTAGGGTCTCAGTGTGTGGCCCAGGCTGGCCTCAAACTCAAGGAGATCCTCCTGCCTCTGCCTCCTGAGTGCTGGGATTAGGGCCTGCCACCATGAAATAAGAAAGGGCGTGACAAAGATGACCGGGAAAACAAGTGGGACAGTCAGTTACAAGACCTCAGGACAGAGCCAAATAATACCCAGGACCCTGTACGTGGAACTTCTCACGTGCTCCTACAAGATGTGGATGGCGCTGGGCATGCGGTGCATGCCTGTAATCCCAGCACTTGGGAGGCTGAGGCAAGAGAATCATTGTGCGCTCGAGGCCAGCCTGGGCTGCAAAGTGAGCTCAAGGCCAGCCTGAACTGCATAGCGAGACCCTGTCTCAAAAAGACAAAAAAAAAAAAAATGTGGACGGCATACAAGGGCACAGATGCCATGAGGGCCCACTATCATGACTCCCCATGGTGGCCCACTCTGTGTCTTCTAGGCCAGGGTCCACTTTTACTTTTGCTTTTATCCTTTTCTCTTGTGTAGCCCAGGTTGGCCTTGGACTTGCAGCAATCCTGCGTCAGCCTCCTGAGTGCTGGGATTACAGGCTTATGCCACCACGCCTGACTTGCAGAGCTGGTTCTTCCCTAACCCCTTCACCTCTCATTTTTCAAATAAACTTTTGACACCGTTAAAAAAAATAGAAGTTTTTGTCTCTTTTAATGGAGGTATAGCCACACATGATGGCACAGGCCTTTCTTTAATCCTGGCACTCAGGAGGCTGAGGCAGGAGGATCCTTGAGAATTCGAGACAAGCCTGGGCTACAAAATGAGCTCAAGGCCAGTCTGAACTTTACAGCAAGTCCCTGTCTCAAAAAGACAAAAAAAAAAAGACAAAAAAAAAAAAAAAAAAGAACAAGAATGGAGGTTTGCCAGCCTGGGTATTCTGCTAATAAGTCAGTAACGGCCGCAGGAGCCAAGGCCTCCTCCTTCACTATCTCACACACACACACACACACACACACACACACACACACCCCTCCATGGGCCTTCGGATTCAAAGTCCAGGAGGGCTGCTGATTTCACCATTGTGTCTGTGTCAGAGCTGGTGGGGAGCGCAGAAGAGGCTTTAAGGGGAGCCTGGAATCACCAGCACAGCCCTTCCTTACACTGGGGCACCAGGTCTAATCCTCCGGCCTCCGCTGTAGGAGAGGCTGGGTAGTGAGTCCTCCTGACACAGTGTGGCCCCGGGCCGAGCCGCGACGGTCTCCGCAAGCCAGGCGCGAGGGAAGGCTGAGCTCGGACTCTCGGTGCGACCTGCCACAGCGGGCCTGGGTCTCCTCTAGGCTCGGTGGGCGACCCGCTGGGAGTCTGTATTGTTTTACAGTCGCGGTTTAAAACAGCTCCAGGATCACAGAACAGACCAGCGTGAACAGCTGTGTGTGGGCAGCTCCCCCGGGGGGCGCTGAAGCAGACACTGCCTGGGGCGACTCCGCCTGCGCCCGCCGGGCCTGCCAGGCACCGTGGGCTTCCCTGGGGGCCCTGGCAGCGCCTTCTTGTTACCTTCAGGGCTGAGAACCTGCACATGGTGTGGATCACCGCCACCCCTGCCAAGGGGCGTGAAAAGCCGTCTTCGGTACCCCGCTGTCTGCTGTCGCTGTCGCTCTCGCCCCTCCCGGGCGGGGAGTCCCTGCGTGGTGTCACTTACCTGTTTCCAAGCAGTGACGGCCCTTTAAGGGAGTGGCCCAGACTGGATCGAGATTCAGAAACTGTGACAGAGAAGAGTGTCCCCCGGGGCCAGGCCTTTCAGTTTTCAGAGACGACAGCACAGATCCAGCTTGATCTGACCAGCGGCTTATTCAGGGCTGAGCCTGGTGCTGACTTGTTTTTTTGCCTCTTTGTTGTTGCTTTGGGTTTTTGTTTTGTTTTGTTTTTTGAGACAGGACCTTACCGTGTGGTAATCCAGGCTGGCCTCAAACTTGCAGTGGCTCTCGGGTCATGAGGCAGGTCTTGCTGTGTATTCCAGGCTGGCCCCAAACTCACCATGCCTTCGTTCCTGAGTGCTGGGATGACAGATGGGCACCACTATGCCCACAGTTCATTGATGATTTTATAACGTGTAAAATGTTGAGAATCATATAGTAGAAAACAACTACTTTTTTTTTGGTGGTGCTAGGGATCAAACTCAGGGTCTCAGACGTTCTGAATATGTGTTCTACCACCAGGATACACCCCCAACCCATACATATATTTTACATATGTAAACGTGTTCATTTATTCATTTACTTTTTTTTCTGTTTCTTTTTTGGTACCAGAATTCAAACTCAAGACCTTGCACTTGCCAGACAGGTGCTGCGCCACTGAGCTGTATCCCGGCCCCATTCATTTACTTTTGAGACAAGGTCTCCTTATCTAGCTCAGGCTGACTTCAAACTCCCTATGTAGTATAGGCTGGCCTGGAACTCACGGTGATCCTCCTGCCTCAGCCTGCCAGTTTCAGGATTAAAGGTATGCCACTGTGCCCAGTTTATTTTATTTTATTTTTTTTTTGTTTGTTTTTTGGTTTTTCTCCGGTACCAGGAACCGAACTCACGACCTTGCGCCTGCCAGGCAGGCGCTTTTGCCGCTGAGCTAAATCCCCAGCCCCTGTGCCCAGTTTAAAAAAAATTAAAACAAAACATTTTCCACGATGTATAAAATTAATTAGATTGACAAAGCACTACTTTTACCTACTTTCCTTTTTAAATTTTAATGTTTAGTGGCTATGTAATAATTGTATATAATCATAGGGTACCGTGGGATGTGTCAGCATGTGCACACAACCTGCGCCTGCACCTGCACCTAACTATCCTAATCAAATTAGAATAGTTAGCATTTCCATTTCCGGTTACAGCACAGGTCTGTTCTGCCCACCACAGACTCCCGCTGCCCAGCACTGAGACCTGAGACGAGGGCCTCCACATGGCCACTGAGCTCCTTAGGGAAACTCAGGCCCAAATCCACTTCTGCTGGGAAAGGGTTTGGGGCTGGATATTCATAGGATAAAGGCCCAGGGCACCTCAGGCATGGGGAAGGTGACTGTAGGTAGGGAGCTGGTGCTCTGCCTGTGTCATCCAACTTCCCCACTCCTTGTGCTATAGGCAGCTAAGTTAGATAAAATATTATAGGCAGTCAGACAGGGCCAGGCCCTCGAAGGAGCCAGAGATGAATGAGATACTTTGCAACTGTGGGAGAGACAGACACCTCCGCTACGGGCCAGACCTCAAGACAAAAGATAAAACAAATGCACCCACAAACTCCCTAAGGTTAAACATCAGGGCTTGATATTCTAAATAGGCCTCCATCACCTTGAGAAAGCCAGGGAGAGTCACTAACCCGACCTCCCCCAGGGAAAGCCCCTGTTCTGGTTCGTGCCCGAGTGCTGTGACTCGATTCTTCATTTGATCCCGATTTAATCAATATTGCCTGAGCGATTGTGCTCGTAATCTTACTGGTTGACTGCAGTTTTGTCCCCCCTCATGCCCTCCTTGTGATTTCCCATTTTTCCCACCTTGGGCCCGCCTCACCTAGTGGTTTTGCTCCATAAAAATCCCTAGGAAAGGCAGGGTCTTTGGCAACCCACTCAAGACCCCTTCTGTCTCTCAGGCAGAAGTTTTCTTTCCCCAATAAATATATTGTGCCCTTAACTCCGTTGTTCCTAAAATTCATTTGTGAATTTTAGAGAACACAAACTCGTACTGGACATCTAGCAGGCTGGGAGTTTCTTTCCCCTGTATCAGTTGCAGTGTGTGTGTTCCAAAACCAGTGGCCTCAGCATGATCTGAGGGTCGCGGTTTTGGCCTCCTGATGCCTGTGTATCACCCATCAGACCGTGCAAACCCAAGTGAAGAGTCAGCGCTTCCAACAAAAGTAGCCCTCAAGTCACTGGAGGGTGACCGAGGCAACAGCGATCATCATTACCCACATGTCAGAGGTGTCACCGACAGCAAAGCGAGTGGGAGGTGGGTGACAGGTGGCTGAGCTGCATGACCTCCAAAATTTGGGGTTTTTAAAGTCAACTACAAGCCGGGCGTGGTGGCACACTCCTGTGATCCCAGCGCTCGGGAGGCTGAGGCAGGAGGATCATTGCAAGTTCAAGGCCAGCCTTGGCTACAAAATGAGTTCAAGACCAGCCTGAACTGCAGAGTGAGACCCTGTCTCAAAAGGACAATAAATAAATAAATAAATAAAGTCAACTACGTGCAAGGGGAGCCACCGGGATTATTTAGGCTTTCCCTGAGTTCCACTGCTTTTCCGTTCTTTCCACGGGCTCTTCAAGTTCCTCTCTTCCGGTTATTCACACCCCGAGGTGTGGTCCTTGGGCCCTCTGGCCGCCTTGCTGTGTCTGCGCTGCTGGGGTACGCTCCTCTATGGCTTCCTTACGCAGCTCTCCACTTCTTCCACTCCCCTCCCCGGCTGTGTTTGCTTGCTTGTATACAGGGCTTTTCTTCCAGCGGCATTTGCCACGGGGCTGCGTTATTGAGGCGTTTGAAGCTATGGTCTTCCTCTGCGGTGCCAGCCACAGGCTGGGGCGTCTGGGGCTCACTTTGTTGTTGGGCACTTTGCATTGAGGGCGGAATTCAGAACAGGGCTGCCCCAGAGGCTTCTACTCACCCCCTTGGGTTAAAGGGGTGACTTCACCCAATCTGAACATCTGCCTGAACCCCGGAGGCACCTGAGAGTGCCTGATTATAAAGAGGGGGACATACCTTGTCTAAAACCCAGCAAGAGCGTATTTGTTAACCAGGAAAGACCAGCGTGGGTCAGGGCCCTTGGGGAGGCCAACCAGCTCTGCGGGCGGCAAGCCCTGGTTGTGAGGAGATGCGTGGTGGAGGCTGAGGTTAGACTTGCCCAGTCTCGGAGGTGGGAAACTACTGAGTGCGGAGTGGCAAAGGATTTCACATTGTTGGAGAGGTTTTAGTGAGTGCCTTCCTAGGACTGGGATAAAACTATTCTGGACAGGCGCCTGGCCTGGAGGACGGAGCAGGTTATAAAACAGGCAGATAAGGAAGGCCTGGGGCGCGTGTTAAAGGAGAGAAGGGCTGGTGTGTCTGCCAGGGGAGTTTGGGAAAGTCTTCCAGAATACAATGGGAAGCCAGTAGTGGTGGCGCATGCCTGTAATCCCAGCACTCAGGAGGCTGAGGCAGAAGTATCATTGGGAGTTCAAGACCAGCCTAGGCTACAAGGTGAACTCAAGGCCAGCCTGAACTACATAGCAAGACGCTGTCTCAAAAAGACAAAAAAAAAAAAAGAATACGATGAGGGGTGGGCATGGTGGCACATGCCTGTAATCCTAGTGCTGGGGAGCCTGAGGCTGAGGATCATGGTGAGTGTGAGGCCAGCCCTGGCTACACAGGGAGTTCAAGGCCAGTCTGAACCACATAGGGAATCCCTGTCTCAAACAAACAAACGATACAATACAATACAATGCAATGGGTCAGATCCTCCCCAGTGTCTGGTGTGGGTTTATGGCCATTAGTATTCCGAAAAACACTTATAAGCAAGAATTTGGTTGGTTTCTTGTGAGTTCCAGGCAGAGCTGCTGGGGCCATTCCCCCTGGGGAACGACTCTGAGCCTCAAGCTGAGTGACTGAGGGAGCTGTGTGTGCAGTGCTCCGGGAGAGAACCAGCGGGCCAAGCGGGCCCTGATGCCCGCTTCTGGGCCTGGTAAACCGGACTGAGACCATAAGGGGGATGCAAGAACGTTCCTGGGGCTTTTTTATGTGTTAGGCATCGTGCCAGCCATTGTACGGGAATTCTTACTCCTAAATTTTCTCACTGCTATCGGGATAGGTCAAACTAAAATAGCGGTTAAAACAGGTTGTTCTTTGAACTGGTACCTTCTCATGGGATGAGTTAAAAGTGTCACTGGATTTTTAAAAATTACATAAAAGTTATTTATTATTCAAACTTTTTTTGTTTCCTTGTTTTTTGAGACAGGGTCTTGCTCTGTAATGCAGGCTGTCCTTGAACTCACTATGTAGCCCAGGCTGGCCGCCAGCTCTGGGTGATCCTCCTGCCTCAGTCTCCGAAGTTCTGGGATTACAGGTGTGCACCATCACACCTGGCTAGAACTTATTTTTAAAGTGATAGGAAATGAGGGGCCGGGGATGTAGGTCAGCGGCACAGCGGCACCTGGCAAGCGCAAGATCATGAGCTCGATTCCTGGTGCCGAAAAAAAAAAGATAGGAAATGAGAAAGTTTTACTGTAGTGAGATCAGGAAGAAGTGGCAGTGGTGCGTTCTGCCCTTCCTCAGGGTCCTCCGGCTCTCCTTGGGGACCAGCACCTGAGTTTTCTGCCGGCCGACCCCTCCTGCTCAGCACCTGAAGGTGGATCAAATGATTCCACCCAAGGTCCAGCCCAGCGCTCAGAGCACAGCATTCTCATTCCCGGGAGACAACAGCTGCCTCTCAGGTGTTCTGACGTGCAGGTGGTCCAGGAGGAAAGGTTTAGACATCTGAGCAAGAAAACAGCCTGGGGAAGCAGCTCCATCTGCTCTTCAGAATGTACCACTAAGCCAGGATCTGTTTTTCAGAATACCTAGCATTCTCCTGGAAATGGTAAATTACAGCAAGACTACAAGCTCTGTGGACCCGGGGGACCACGTCCAGCTACATTGCAGCACCCCAGCTCTTGGGAGGCTGAGGCAGGAGGGTCACAAGTTTGAGTACAATCTGGGCAACTTTGTGAGTTAGTGAGACTCTGTCTAAAAATAAAAAAAGGCTAGGAATGTAGCTCAGTGCAAAGGCCCTAGATTCAACCCCCAGTATTTAAAAAAGAAAAAAGGTATTTTATACATTATAGCTGAATAACTATATTGATCTGTACTGACCCATGGCTTGCGAAAACTGAAGGTATCCTAGAGATCTTTTAGTCCTTCATTTTATAGAAGAGGAAACCAAGGCAGGAGGCTTCCAGTGTGGCCACACCTGAGTGAAAATTAGATTCTTGGTCTTCTGTCCCGTAGTTCTTGGTTGTTTTGTTGTTTTGGTTTTTTTTTTTGTCTTGTGGAGACAGGGTCTCACTATGTAGTTCAGGCTGGACTTGAGCTCACTTTGTAGCCCAAGCTGGCCTTGAACTTGCAACAATCCTCCTGCCTCAGCCTCCCGAGTGTTGGGATTCCAAGTGTGTGCCACCACGCCTGGCTTCCAAATTTATTTATTTATTTATTTATTTATTTATTTATTTATTTATTTATGTGTGTGTGTGTGTGTGTGTGTGTGTGTGTGTTTTCTGGTACCAGGAATCGAACTCATGACCTTGCACTTGCCAGGCAGGCGCTGTGCCGCTGAGCTAAATCCCCAGCCCCAAGCTTCAAAATTTTAAAAATATAAAAATATAACAGGCTGGGGATGTAGCTCGGTGTGAAGGCCCCTGGGTTTAGTGCTCAGCATCAATCAATAAATATTTGAACAAGGCGAAAGATTCCATAGGCGAGAAGGTGGTATGGGGCGTCGGGTGAGTGTGGGCTGGGAGGTCCTGCTCTAAGACCCCCACCCTTGCAGTTTGGCTATCGGCCTCCCCTCTTCCCAGTCCTCCCTGGCTGCCTTTCCAGGAACTTCTGCAGCTTTAGGGCAATGTGAGGGCAATGACACTTCTAACTGGAAAGCTCAGGGAGGCCTGGGGAGGCTTGAGAGCCCCTGAAATGGACCTGTGCTCTCGGCGCCCTCCCCAGCCTGCTCCTCTGCCGCCTTCCTGGCAAACACAGGGCCGCCTTCTTGCTCTTTGTCCTCCTGAGCAGCTGGAGGAGGCTGGACGCGGCCCTCTGTGGGCTCGAGGTTCTGGGCTGGAAACTGGAGATGGACCTTAAGGGATGGGAGGAGGCGCCAGGCCGGGATTCTGCCCAAGCCAGCCTCGGCCAGCCGGAGAGGCTAAGACACCCCGAGAAACGAGGGGAGTGAGGAGAAGAACCGTGTAATTCGGGGTGGGTGGAGTCAACAGGTTCTTTTTTATTTTTTTGTATCTTGAGACTCGGTCTTGCTAAGTCCCTAAATTGCCCCCAGCCAGGGAAGAACCTCCAATCCTTGTGGCCTGAGACTTCCAGAATGCTGGGGTTGGGCTGGGGATTTAGCTCAGCACACAGTGCCTGCCTAGCAAATGCAAGGTTGTGAGTTCGATTCCCGGTACCGGAGAAAAACCAAAAAAAACAAAAACAAAAACAGAGTGCTGGGGTTACAGGTCTGTGCCATGGCACCCACCCTGCTGGGACCGGCGAGGTCTAGCTGGCGGCAGCTGTCCTGCTTTCCCTTTGGCTTCCATCTCTAGATATAACCCAGTCACTCCAGTGACACGTGTCCTTGGGACACTGCCGGTAGAGTGAGGAGGACAGACACGTAAACAGCCATCGCGGGGCTGTGGTCTGGACAGAACCCAGACCCAGGGCTCAGAGAAGCTTTCTGAAGGAGTGAGGTCGGAGTCGGGAACTGAACTTTGGGAAGTGCGAGTGGCTTAAGTCCACAGGGGACTTTTCCCAGGCAGAGTTCCCGGCGCCACTGCACACGGGTCTTTATTAGAATGCCTTGGGGTGGGTGTGCGCAAGGGGCACTGAGAGGGAAGGCCGGAGGGATATGTAGCGATGTGCGAGTCACCCAGAGGAGCTTGAGCCCTGTCTGGGCAGGAAGTGTTCGGGCAGGGCACTCGACAGACAATCCGCCTACCTCGAGCTGTTCCCTTGTCCTGGAGGGGGTGACTTTCAAAAGCGCTGTCACGAGTCTCTCCTCGCTGTCATTCCTTGGACCCTAGCCATTCTGAGCTTCCCCCCTGGACCCCCAGCATGCCATGAGCCTGGGCCACCGTGCGTCACATTTAACAGCTTTATTGAGATATAAATTTCATATCTACTGTTATGGGCTGAATTACGTCCCCACAAAACATGTTACAGCACTAACCTTCAGTATGTCCAGATGTGATCTTTGCGGGACACTTTTTTTGTTGTTTTTTTTTCTTAGTCTTTTTGAGACAGGGCCTTGCTGTGCAGTTCAGGCTGGCCTTTCGCTCACTCTGTTGCCCAGACTGGCTTTGAACTCTTAGTGATCCTCCTACCTCCGCCACGCCCGGCTTTAAAAATTTTTTTTGTTTTATTTTGTTTTGTTTGAGACAGCATCTCAGTATGTAATTCAGGCTGCTCTTAAACTCACTGTGTAATCCAGGCTGGTCTTGAACTTACAGTGATCCTCCTGCCTCAGCCTCCCAAGTGCTGCAATTACAGATATGCAACACCATGCCCGGCATGGGAAAAGCAAAATTTAAAAACCCATAATATAGTCCTTAGAAAATATAGCAGTGTGTGACCTTGCTAGAAGGTAAAAATTCAAGTCAAATTCCAACATGTCTTTGGGCGCACTTTTAACAAAAATAATTGCAACATTATTTCTTAAACGTTTAAATCTTGGCCTATTAGGGATGATTGTTTTTCACTGTTCGGGATTGAACCAGGGCCTGTGCTTACTAAGCAAGTGCTCTACCACTGAGCTACATCCCCCACGCAGCATGGTTCTTTTTTAATTGTGGTGAAATAAACATAACAGAATCCACATGGTGCGTTCTTGGTAAGAGAGCAGTCGTCATCCCTGCGAGATAATGCAGGCGGCGTGTGAAGCGCTACAGTGACTACCCAGACAAGGTCTCCTGCCCGCTTCTGCCTCTTCTGTTCTAGAGAAGCCAGCCTGTAGACAAAAGCACAAGACGTTCTTATCTTGTGCTATGAAATTCATGAAGACAGTCCCCAGGGAGGCCCCCTGATGCGAGGGAATGGGGGTGGATCAGGAACCCCTCGGAGATCGGATGCACAGGGAGTAAGCTTGTTTGGAAGATCCCGGCCCAAGAATGGCGCATGCGCAGGTCCCTAAGCTAGGAGAACCCAGGTGGGTTTGCAGCCGGCTGGGGCGGGCAGAGTGCGGGCAAGGCAGACCGTGCTTTGAGCTGAAGCCTGGTGGGCTGGAGATAGGTCTCAGGGGCTTGGAGGGCCACGACCTTGAATGTGGATTTTACTGTGAATTCTGAATTCTGAGTAGGAAACTCACCTCTGGGTGAACCAGTTTCTTCGGGGTGGCTCTGTCTCCTTCACCCTGCGTCTCTGAAGGCGCCCGCCGTGAGGCCCGCAGAACTAGGTTGCAGGAGGAACACAAGACCTCACCCTGGCTGTAGCTCCTCCTGCCTCATCCTCCCTACATTTGCTCTCCCTGCCTCCCTCCCGCACAGCTGACTTTGGAGCCTTGCGCCAGGGCCGAGCTCTGCAGTGAGGAGACCTGGTGGGGCAGGGTCTGTCCCTGCCTGCCTTCGGGGGCCTCCACGGAGGGGAGGGAGGGCAGTTCCTGTGCTTCAGCTCGGCTGGCTCTGTCCCTTCCACCAGAAGCGAGCTTTCTCTGCTTTTGCGGCGGGGATTAACGGAAGTGTGTGCCTCTAGTGGTCTGTTTCTCTCATTCTCGGTTCCTTTTCTCTGATTCCCTTTTTTTTTGGTTTTTGTTTTTTTCTGAGACAGGGTCTTGCTGTGTAGTGCAGGCTGGCCTTGAACTCACGGTGATCCGCCTGCCTCAGCCTCCAGAGTGCTGGGATTACACACACGCCTGGCTTGATGCACTATTTTAAAAATTTAAAATAACACAAGATGACCTGCTCATAAGAACTTCAATACAGAAGTACGAAGGAGAGAACATGAAGGTCTCTGTCATGTCTGTCTTCCATGGCTCTTTGTCCCTGTCTGGGACACTAGCATTATTTAAGATTTTTCTGTGGGCCCAAGTCTCTGCTGGCAGCCCTCCTGTATATGTGTGACTAGGTCACTATCTTTTTTTTTTTTCTTTTGAAATAGGGTCTCGCTATATAGTCCAGGACAGCCTTGAACTCACTATGTAGTCCACACTGGTCTTGAACTTGGGGTGATCCACCCATCTCAACCTCCCAAGTGCTGCCATTGTCACTGTACCCAGTTAGGTACCTATTTTTGTCTTTCTCTTCTCTCTATCTCTGTTTCATTCTAATTCTCATTCTAATTCTACCTCTTATCAAAGTATAGTTTCTTGATAGCTAAAAACATGACTTCCATACAAATAAAATATAAGCCATGTCCATTAATAAGCAAGATGATACATCCGATGCAAGGGAAGGTCTAAGAGAGTCTATGTAGAGGGCACGGAAAGAATGCTGAGGAGAGGCTAACAGGTCACGCACAATACTGGTGCAGTCCTACAAAGCCGCAAAGCCGCGACCTCTGGAGTTCTTTTGTGTCCCCGGGCAGAAATCTAGGCGTTAACCTGTAACTTCAGAATCAGGGTCCTAATCAATAGCAAACAGCAAGCTGGGCAGAGCTAATCCCCGATGATCTTTGGACGGGCTTGAAGACCCTGCTCCAGTCCCGCATCCACGAACGAGGGATGTGGAGCCAGCCTCTTGTCTTTCCGTAACTTTTCGTTTCGTTTTTTTGTTTTTCTTCCGGTACCAGGAATCGAACTCACGACCTTGCGCTTGCCAGGCAGGCACTGTGCCGCTGAGCTAAATCCCCGGCCCTTTTGGGTAACTTTTCTACGCGTCTTTGCTGTGCCTGTCTCTTCCTCTCTCGCGCCTTTCGCAGCTGTCTCCCCGTCTTGATGAGCAGAGGCCCTTCAGCCGCCTTTCCCTAGCGCTTGGCTGGGGTGGTCCCAGAGCTCGGGGCAAGGACACAGCCGGGTCTGACCCCCTGCCCACGCCTTGCAGAGCTGGAAGGAAATCAAATGGAAATTCCGAGTGCTCGGAGGAGAGGAGAGGAGAGGAGCGGAGCGGCGGGCGGGCGTGGGGACGTGGCAGGGAGAGGGAGGGCCGGGAGGGCCTGGGCCGGGGCAGGCTCCTGGCTTCAGCTGCCTGGGGCGGAGATGATTTCACACCACAAAAATGTCTGAATCAGGAGAATAAGCGACTCCCTCCCCTCGGGCTGGGCTGGGAAGCCGGCCGCTCAGTGGGGGAGGGGAGGAGCTAGAGACCTCGCTGGGTAAGTTTATGGGTGACAGGGTAGGATCTGTCACGGCCCCCTGGGGGTCTCAGAAAGAAGGACTCCTCCCACTTTGCAAGTGAAAGGGCAGAGTGCAGCCCTGGAGAGGGAGAGTGACAGACAGACAGACAGACAGACAGACAAAGGGGACAGGAAGAACCTCCTCAGGCGCTGCCAGCCAGTGCGAGCTCTGCATGAAGAATCCTGGGGAAGAAAAAGGACAGGAGAGTAAGAGAGAAGCAGAGAAGCAAACCTGAGTCTCAAGACGGAGGCCTTTGTGGGACATGGCTGAGCCATTTTAAAGCTTTTTTTGTTTTTTGGAGTCAAGTTCTTGATCTGTAGCCCAGGCTGGCCTTGAACTCACTATGTAACCCAAACTGGCCTCAAACTGGCAGTAACCCTCCTGCCTCTGCCTCTCAAGCATTTTATTAACTGTAGAATCCTTGTTTATAATTAAACTAGCCAGATAGCTACCTCTAGGGGCACAAGCGGAAGGGGGAGTCTGAGCGTATCATCTTGGTCCTCGTCACCCGCAGTTTAGAAACTATGACCTAATGGTACCCTCATGTTACACATGAGCAGCGATGGCCCAGGGAGGGTGAGGATCTGCCCACATCCTTTACTGTCTGCATGAGGAGCAAGGCCTTTTGCCTTCTTGTCCAGTGCTTTTTGGGTGTGTGTGTGTGGGGGGGGTTACTCACTATATAGACTTGAGCCCACAGCAATCCTCCTGCCTGGCTTCCAATGCTCGTTTTTAAGAAGTTTGGAAAGACAGAAGGAAGAAGAGAAGAGCTGGGCATGGTGACGCACATCTGTAATTCCAGCACTTGGGAGGCTGAGGCAGGAGGATCACTGTGAGTTCAAAGTCAGCCTGAACTACATAGTGAGAGCCTGTTTTAGAGCGAGGGAGAGAGCAAGAGTGAGAGCAAGAGAGAGAGAGAGAGAGAGAGAGAGAGAGAGAGAGAGAGAGAGAGAAGAAACAAAAGGAAACAAAAGACTGAGTCACTTTAAAGTTTTCAAACTCAAGAGGTTAGATGGTTTTTCTCCGGAGGAATGTGAAAGGGGATATTTTGTTCTCTTTAAAAAAGAAAACTCCAAATAAATAAATAAGAAAACTCTCCTCTCCCTGGAACTACCTAGGCCGTGTGCATGCACATAACAGTGTCACCTGGAGCTTAAGCAGCTGCCTGCTGTTATCAAAGACAAAGGCAAATTGGGAGTTCAGAAGTCCAGGAATGCGTTTCGCATAGCCAGCCAAAAACACTTTAGGTCCAAACACAAAGCAAAAGCAGTTCCCATTAATCCTGAAAAGATTAGGGTTAATGTGAATAATAAGAGTAAATGATGCTTTTGTAAACATTCAGAAGGAGCTTGCACCCTTCCCCAAAAGGCTCACCTGGAACCTCTGCAGAAAGAGCTGATTAATCAGCAGCATCACGAAAACGAGCCAGGTCACGTGGACGGAGCTGCAAGATTAATGGCTTCGTTGTAAAACAGCGGAGATGTAGCAAATTCCCCCAAAACTCAAAAAGTATTTTATACGAAAAAGGAGGAGGAGGAGGACATGGAGAACGAGGAGGAGAAGGGGAATCCAGGCCTAAACTGGTAGCCCAACAGAATTCTCCTGCAGATGGGTTTTGTTTGGAGCAGAGACCCTCTGGCGTGGGGCCAAGAGCCTCTGCTTTTCAGCTTGCCGGAGGCTGTCCTTCTGCCGCTGTATCTGCACAGAGGGGCTGCTCGCCTGTCCTGTCTGTCTGCGCCCAAAGAAGCTGCATCTGCCCCCGCATCCTCCATCTCTCCTCTGGGGAGGTGCCCGGCTGGGAGACAGAGCCCCTTCCTCCCGCTTCCTTGGGGAAGGAAGGACCACAGGCTGCCTGCCCTGAGTGACCAGACTTCAGGTTTGGGGAGCGGGGTCAGATGTCTTCTTCCAAGCTCCTTGTTCTTTTTTTCTTTCGTTTTTTGTGGTACTGGGGATTAAACTCAGGGCCTGGTGCATGCTAGGCCAGCACCTACCACGGAGCTACATCCGCAGCCCCCAAGCTCTTGCCCCTGGGAACCCTCGCCCCGTCCACTGTGGCCAGGATAGTTTGGGACAGTCCGTGTCTTTGGACAGATCACTCCTTCTTTCTAAGGCTCATTTTTTGAATGAAAAGCCAGTGACCTCAAAATACATTAGTGCATTTCAAAGATTTTTAAGGCGCAAAATCATTTTTAGACATAAAATCTTAGGCAAAAGTTCCATATGTTAAACAGATCACTGGGTGAAGCAGGATGGGGAGCCGGGAGCAGGACCTGTCCCCTTGTCCCCTTAGCCCCTTGAGGTTGCAGCTGCTCAGCAGCCACTCCCAGGGGGGTCGTGGAGGCTCAGGGCTCAGGACGGGCGCAGGAGCCAGCAGTGGGGAGAGGGACACGGGGACAGTGCCGGATCCACGTCAGCAGAGGACAGGGAGGCCAGCTGTGCCTCAGGACGCAGGGAGGAAAGGGGATGTGGCCGGAGTGGGCATAGGGGCTGAGATGCCTTGCCCTGATCTTCCTCCTCCACATCTGTCTCTGGCCCTGAGAGCATGGAGGGATGGATGCGTCTCCAGGCTGCCCTGAGGGTCGGCTGAGTCACAGCTTGGCTGCCACGTCCCTTGCTGGCAGGTCCTCACTATTCCTGGCTTCCCAGCTGCTGGAACAGAAGAGAGGCTTGGTTTGCAGGCCACGTCAGGAAACATGTAAGGGCTGCCACGTTGTCAGGGCTGGGCTCTCGGGCCTTCCTCCTTCCTTTGGAAAAGATTTCCAGGCCTGTGGGGTTTCAGAAGAAAATTGGTGCCTGCGTGTGAGTGTTCCCTGGACTCTCACCAACAGCTGCAATTATTACAGACCTGGGGCTTGGGGAGACAGAACCAATCCACTGCCGAGCCCTTTGCCCTGCCCAGGGCAGCGGGGAGGCAGCGGAGGCCAGAGGGAGCCCTGCACCGGCAGTCATGGGTACTGGGCCTGGAAACAGGCTGTGAAACTGATAATACAAACCTTTAAAAAAAAAAAATTCTTAACCTTTAGAGAATGTTTGTCCACATCATCTATTGATGGGTTTTTTGGTTTTCTTTTTCTTTTCTTTTTTTTTTTTTTTTTGGTCTTTTTGAGACAGGGTCTTGTTGTGCAGTTCAGGCTGGCCTTGAGCTTACTTTGTAGCTCAGGCTGGTCTCGAACTCACAATGATCCTCCTGCCTCAGCCTCCAGAGTGCTGGGATTACTAGTGTGCACCACCATGTCCCGCCTGCTGACAGTACTTTCTTAGTATGATTTAATAGAAAGAACTGTTAATAGGCCAAAGAATTAGCCTGAGTCAAGTCTCAAGGCCACTGTTTACTGGCTGGGGGGCCCGGAGACAGGTCACTCCGCCTTCCTGAACCTCAGTTTTCTCTTGCAAACAAGGGCATAGGATCGAACAAATGTTTCCCAAAGTGTTGGTCCACAGATCACAATGCTGTGGGACAGCACCCCCCCAGGGACATGGGACCCCCCCCCCCAGGGACATGGAACACAACTTTGAGGAATATGTTCAGAAACTCAGGAGAAACAGGGCTCTGGGGTCTCTCTCTCTCTGCAGAGCCTCTCAAAGCTGTGGACATTAATGGGCCTCCTTCCAGGAGGAAGGCGGTAAATGCCTTCTTTCTCTAACTCATTTTTGTACCCAGCTTCTCCTTTCCAGATGATGTTACAGAATTAATATTTCATGGGACGCATATCGAATTAGAAGACCTAATCATGAGACAAACATTTTTGGAGTGCTTGAGGCACATAAAAGTAGGACAAATGCATTGCACATATTACCTCATTTAACCCTCACCAAAATGTCAGATCCTTGTAACTTCACACTGAGGAAACCAAGGCTGGAGGTTAAATAGCATACCCCAAGTTTTCTCAAGTTAAATAACTTGTCCCAGGCTTCGAGTTCAGAGATCTGACCCCAAAGATAGGCTGCTTAACCTTTACTTTATATTTCTTTTCTTCTTCTTTTGGTCTCACTCTGTAGTCCAGGCTGGCCTCAAACTCAAGATCCTCCTGCCTCAGCCTCCTGAGTGCCGGGATTACAGGCGTGCACCACCACATCTGACTTCTACTTCTTGACTCTCTAAGACCCACGTTCACTTGAGTCTTTACACTGACTTTGAACCAAGAAGGGCCATGTGTGATAATCATGCTCCCTTCGTGGATAAGGAACCCAGGTGGGGACAGGAAAGGTGAACTGCCTGGCTCTAACCAGGACTGTGGGACACAGGTCCTACTCAGGGCAGAGTCCAGATCGGAGCTCCACGGACACTTCTCCTTGGCTTGTACCAGCGGGAGAAGGTGCAGCGGACACCTCGCTCACCTCCCGTGCCCTCAGTGGAGGGCTCTGTGAGGCGGAGGTGGGCCCGCAAACTCTCCGAGGAGCCCTGAGTGGAGGCAGCTGGTGTCGCTTGGTCTTGGACCAACTGTTAGAACTTTGGACGTCTAGCTGCAGCCCCGCCACGGGCAGCTGTGTGACCTTGGGTAAGTCCTCCTGCTGCCCCGGCCCAGGCCACGCCTGAGGTTTCTGTTTCACACACTAAATAAATTGTGCCACTCAGCGAGATGAGGGGGATAAACGTCCTTTGTACGCTGCAAAGAGGGCGAAAATCTCCAGCTGCTCAGTGGGAGTGTGGCAAGTACGGAGGGAGCCCGAGGTCGGATTTCACCCTCCTTGCCCCGGTCAGCGGCCACTCTGCCCGGGGACCAAGGGCGCGCCGACAATGGGATCTTTGTGCCCTCCAGCCAATGGGAGGGCCTGCCGGGGAAGGATACAGTAACGAGGCACCGGCTGAGCCAGACCCGCTGTGCCCGGTGCTTCCTAACTTGGCAGCCCCGACTCCGCGCCAGACGCACAAAGGTGCATTTAAGCATTCGGACACACAATCCTCCGCCCGGCCTCTGGAGGCCTTGGAGCAGACAGAGGGGGCCGCAGCCCTGGATCACTGGGCTCTGGAAACCTCCCCTTCCCAGGCATCCAAGGACAGTGTGGGATCAGATAGAGGCCTTGAGAGAACAGGAGGGAGGCCATCCGCTTGTGGCGTGGATGGGTCTGGGACAAACGGGAGAGGGAGCAACCTGAGCGAGGACACAGGAAGCAGAGGTGTCTGGAGTTGAGGACCCTGTGTGGACTCCTGGCTTACCACTAGGAGACCCCGGAGAAGCTGTTTAGTTTCTGCTCTTTCATTCTTCATTTTAAAATAAGAATGATCAGCCAGGTGTGGTGGCACAAGCCTATAATCCCAGGACTAGGGAGGCTGAGGCAGGAGGACTGCCAAGAGTTTGAGGCCAGCCTGGGCTACACAGTGTTCAAAGCAAGTCTGAACTACATAGTGAGACACTGCTTCTAAAAAAATAATAAATTAAATTAGAGTGATCATGGTATCGGCTGGGTGTGGTGGCGCATGCCTGTAATCCCAGCACTCGGGAGGCTGAGGCAGGAGGATTGTTGCGAGTTTGAGGCCAGCCTGGGCTACAAAGTGAGCTCAAGGCCAGCCTGAACTGCATAGCAAGAACTTGTCTCAAAATTACCAAAAAAAAAAAAAAAAAAAAAAAAAAGATCATGGTACCTATCTATGGTGGACAAATAACATCCTTTCTTGGGGCCGGGGGGCGGAGATATAGGGGGGCCGGGGATACTGCAAAGTGGCACAAGTGCCTGCCTGGCAAGTACAAGGTCCTGAGTTCAATTCCTGGTACCAAAGGAATAAAAAATCCCTTCTCAAGATATCCATGTCCTATTGTCCAGAACCTATAATTATGCTTCCCTACATGGCCGAGAGGACTTTGTAGATTAAGCTGAAGGTTTTGAGTTGATCATCCTAGATTATCCAGATGGGTCCAATGTGATCTCAAAAATCCTTACGAAATGTAGGCAGAGAGTCAAAGCCAGAAAAAAAGATATGAACACAGACACGGGTTGGGATGATATGCTTAGAAGGTGGAAAGGGGGCCACACACCAAGGAATGCAGGTGGTCCCTAGAGACTGCAAAAGGCAAGAAAAAACAAAAACCAAGAACTAGCCAGGCACAATGGCACATGCCTGTAATCCCAGCACCTTGGGAAGCTGAGGCTGGAGAATTGCAAGTTTGGGCCCAGTGTGTGTAACCTGTCTCAAAATAAAAAATAAAAAAAGGCCGTGCAGGAAGCAGAGGCAGGAAGACCACTGATGCCAGCATGGGCTACATCGTGAGTTTAAGACCAGCCTGAACTACATAGCAAGACCCTGTCTCAAAAATCAAAAAAACAAATAAATAAATGAATGGTTGGGAACGTAGCTCAGTGCAAGGCCCTATTCAGTCCTTAGTACCCACCCCCTAAACCAAACCAAAACAAACAAACAGACAAAAAAACAAAAAACCAAGAAAACAAATCTCCCTCAAGCTTCCAGAAGGAATATAGCCATCTGAGGCCTTGATTTTACGGCTT